GCCGAGGCTGAGGTCAACAGTGAGGACACGCATAGGATGACACGCCAGCGCCGGGTGGCCGGCCTCTCGGTCGACACGATCTCCATGAGTCGCCTCTCGAACGCCTTCAGATCTGATCCAATGGTCACAGACATTGTATAGTGTGTGTGAATAGCGGTTCAGACACGGCTTACCATCGCATATGAGTTGATCCATCGTATTGTGTGTCCGCATCGCGTGCGTAGACACTGTCGCAGAGTATGACAGCGTGTGGCGAGAGATATGGTCACCGATTGAGCGGATCTCGCGGTGACTTCTGGAGCGACAAGTGTTTTGACAGTAAAATGTGTTATAAGTGTGGGTTTGTGTGTAAACATTGTAATAGTGTTTGCAGTCAATTAGTACGCGATAACTATGACCGTTGTCTACAACATGTGTGCGTATATTGTACGCCAGTGTCAGTCTAATGCATTGCATTTGTGAAGCAATTGAAAACTTTTGCAAAAAGTTTTCAAAAACTTTATGATTTGTTTAACAAAAGCAGAGACAACTCATAGTCACCTGAGATACCATACCTCACGAGATAACGACATGAGTGGACAGTCAGACAAAGAGAGTCACGAGTGAGCGGTGCGTCCGGATCTACCGGTTCTCTCAAAGACAAGGAACCGGAGGCGACCACCAGTTCCGCCAAATCGAGTCAATCGGAAAAGACGGCCACTTCTGAGGCACAGAAGGAGAGCCCAGTCGGCGGACAGGAGAGCAGTGAAAGCCCGGGCAGTGGACAGACATCTGATGGCAATACGACTGCCGGTGAGGGCGAGAAAGACTGTTTAAATCTATTATTATATTTGTATTACTTATATATTTATTCAATAAATTGGTTTTGGATCAACAATAATGTAAGTGTACATTCATTTATAGATTATAGTTTCTCTCTCTCTCTCTCTCTCTCTCACTCACTCACTCTCTCACTCACTCACTCTCTTACTCTTCATTTATTAATATTGTTATAAATATATATTAAATAGTTTATATAATATTTTATGATTATTATAGTCAAATGAATCGATTGATTCAATGGTTTATAATATTAGTTGAGCTTATTTGAGTCAAATGTTATTATCTACAAAGTATAGTCTCAGGAATTCTTAGCAATAATTATTATAATTGATTTTAATTATGAACCGTAACTCTTAATGTTACAATATAATAATCTTTGCTTGATTCAAATGTAATGTAAATATTAGTAGAGGTTTTGAGAGAATATTCATGTTTTTATAACTTATGAATCATTTATGAGTTAATGTTGAGAGAATATTCTGTGATAAATTGTTTTATTATAAACATATTTAGACTATCAATGAATTATAATCAGATTGACAAAACTAATCTATATTTTTATTAATGATTTTTAAAAAGGTTATTAAAAATAATTATCTAGGAATAAAAATTCAACTATTAATGTGTAAAATGTTATTTTGAATACAGTTTTTGTGCCATTTGTTTGAGTTTGTATTTCTCTACCTTTCCGGTCACTGTCCGGGGATAGTCGGCAACAAACTCAATGTTTTTCGGTATTTTAAAATGACTTATCTATTGATTCATAAAATTATCAATTCAATATATTTAGCAATAGAATAATTTAGATATAATTGTGTGATTGTGAGCATACCTTTCCCTTACAGAAATCCCTTAACGAATCGGTATCTAAACTACTGTCGCCTTTCTTAATAACAAATGCCACCAAATCCTCGCCCATCCTCTCATCGGGAATTCCGACGACCTTTTCATCGCAAGTAGTGTTAAATTCAACATTAATTTGCATTTTATATAATATCTGAACCTATATTCCGTTTTTCAGTTCAAATATCAAATAAAGGTATTATTAAATACCTGGACATCAATCACATCGTCGTGTTTGATAAGGAAGTCCTCTATTTCTCGGGGATATATATTTTCGCCGCCCCTTATAATCATATCCTTAAGCCTACCGTTGATTGATATGAATCCCAACTCATCCATAACCCCGATATCACTAAACAAATGCCACCAAAAAACATAAATTTCTACTTCAACTCGGATGACATGGACATTGAAACTCATACCCCGTGTGGTACCACCGGTTCCTATCAACT